ATATCTCCCAATATACATACTTATTTAAAAAAAATGAAATTAGCTAAAAATTAAAAGCCTAATTTATTAACTTCCAGACAGTTTATTTTATATGTAACCTAAAGTACATAATTTGAACATAAAGTGGATGTCTACATCGGATCAAGAAAAAAAGTCATAAGTCTATGCAAGCGATACGCTTCAGACTTGACCTCCAACGACTACTGACGTTTTGCAGATATCAGAAAAATACTTCAGGGGAAACATTGGCTCAAATAGTGAAATCATTGTCAAAATTGAGGCCTATTTAAAGAAAACAAATCGTTTTATAAAAAAACATCGAATAGTATGAAGTTTTAGAACAAATGTATCTATCTATTTTTTTGATACTATTATTAATATTATTATTTCTATTACTATTATTATTATTATTACTCGTTCGTATTACTATTATTATGATTATTATTATTAATGTTATAATTATTACAATTATTATTATTACTATTATTCGTATTAATATTATTATTATTACTATTATTATTATTATTACTATCATTATTAATATCACATTATGATTATTATTATTATTATTTGAAGTAAGATTGATACAACGGCACTTTTGTGATCTAGTGTGTTTTCATGAAGAAATTCATACAATCAAATTTGAAGAAATTAAGGCCTTTGATAAACCTAATGATATTTCTTAAGCCAAGATTGCAGATCTTGTTTGGCTCAATAAAAGTGTCAGTATTCGACTTCTTTACCCAATTTCTTTTCTCTTATGAAACGCTATCGAAATGAATTCCATTCGATTGCCAAAAATATTTATTTAATTTCATTTTCTCAATGATCCAAGTCCAAGTTCATTGGAGTTTGCAAACAAATTCATTAATGTGATTAACAGACACAACAAAAGCTTAAAGTCAGATTGTATTTATATTTAATGCTTTTAAAAAAACAAAATATTCTAATTCATTCATTCAAAAAAATAGTCTTATTCATAATCTGATTATTCTTTATGTTAAAATTGGATAAATTTGTATAATTATGAAGCTGTAGATTTTTTACCGATATTTTTATTTGACTGATACGAAATGTGATCACACTTTATTTAAGTATAGCATTAAAAATGCCGGTTATCTACTTAAACATTTCTTAATTTTTTTAAACTTAACTATTAAAACTTTGAGATCTCAGCGAAATCCCTTTTAATGACAAGTCTTGTTGAACGGGCCCCCTCTCTTGGACAAACAACGATATTTTTTTATCTTTATATGAAACAACTTAAACGTGAACCCTACTTTTGAATAGATAAAAGTTGGCTAACGATGAGTAACCGTTTTTAGTGAATTTTTTTCTTATAATTAAACTAAATAAGAAATTGTAACATCTATGAAATGTCACCTTCGATTGATTTATATAGGATATAAGTGATAGTACTTAATAAAGATATGATGTGAGATGTAATAGATATTTATAACAAAATGAATCACACAACAATATAGGTTACGAAAACAAACTATGATACAAAACAGAACAGGGATGGAGGAAACATAGACACAAACAATTGGGGTCTTATTGGTGTGTTCTATGGATCATTAATCATTAATTAAACAAAAATAACGAAGAGTACACAGCTCTATTGAACAATGAGTTTTTAAGGTATCCATCTGTGTACAAAACAAAAACATATTGCTTAGAAAGCAGCTGGTTGTAGTCTTTTGCAAGAATCATCTTAGATTCTAAATTGAGGTAGTGGGGTAGTTAAAAAGGCATAACAAAAAAAAATCTGGTGATGAGAAGTATAAGGGAAAATATTATATATATATATATGTACATAGTACAGAATTGCTAGTCCCCTTGTTGTCTGCTTAAGAGAGCTTTCACTGTATTTTTATTATTTACATTATATCAGCTTTGCTAAATTTGAAACTTATTTCCGGTGCTCCCGTTTTATGGTTACACATTAACTAAATGTATTTTATATTGAGAACACTAAATTGAAAAAAAATTCCTTTTTTGGAAATTAAAAATGGAACTTAAAAATAACACATTTTTTTAAATTTTTTAAATCAACACAATTAGTTACCAGAGCAATAATTTTTAAGGGAACTGAAAACTGAATATCGTATTTATTTCGCAAAATGCACATTAGTAAATATTATTCATTAGTATTTTTTTAATCCGCCCATAATATTTAAAATATATATTAACAAATGTATTTTATCAAAACTTTATGATAAAACAAAAAAGAAATTCAAATAAAAAATTATAAAGTGCGTCTAAATAAAACATATATGTAGATAATGATATACAGTGAAAACTCTCTGGAGTGGGCAATCATGGTCAGTCAAATTTCAGTTTGTTCAAGAGATATATATTTCTTATTTATGTTGTTTCAAATAATAACCAAATATATTTGATTTTATAAAAATTGATATACTCAAAGATAATATAGTAGCTTTAGCTAAAGAAAGTTATTATATTACGATTATAGTAGATTCATGTAGGCATATCAGCCATTGTGTGACCCTAAAGGCATTAGGATTTTAAACGTAGAATCCTACACTTGTTGATAAATCGTGACTATCATATTTAGAAATTCCCACATGTCGGAATGCGGATATACGGAATGCAATAGTAGTCCAGTATAGTAAACTCTAATACAAAAAACAAAATATATAGGATCCTTGATAGAAAAAGAAACACATTTTCACATTTGTTTTTCAAACATTAATGATTGAATTTAAGTTAATTCAAGTTACTAGGATGATACTAGGTATTCCCTTATACCTGTTTAATTTTTATGTTGTCATAAAGCCATATAATTTAAAAGAAAAAACTTTGCACTGGTTAATAAATTAATATTTATAAGAATCAATTGATAGTAAATTCGGAAATACGGAATACAGTTTGTGAGTCATTGAAAAAATCTGATGTTCAAATGTTACAAATATTCTAATCAAAAGCATAAAGAATCATTACAACTAGTCCACATTATATCACAAACAACTACACTCATCGTGATCTTAAAGTTTTAATAAGGTTAACAAAGGCCATCTTAATCCTTTTATATTGGATTTGAAATTTTACTCACATATCAAAAGTCAACATAAATACCTATCTCTCCTCTCCATTTGACAGTATGCGAAACTTCTAACCTTTCTTAATCTTCTTATATTGAAATTGCCATCCTACCCACACACACACACCTTTTTACAACTAGAAACGAAGTTAACAACATTTTTCTCCGTAGAGAAAAGTAGAAGTAAAAGATAGATCTTATACGTGGTTGATACTTTATGAAACTTTTAACTATTCCAATCGCCTTACACTTGAACTCATATCCCACTCACAAATCCTAACACAGTTATTGTTAATGAAACTTTTAACTCACATACCACTTACGAATCTTCATAAGGCTTAAAAGATCTCAACGCATTCACAATTCTTAATATGGCTTAATAGAAAATCAATAATAGAAGTTATATGTTGTTTAAAGTTTCATAAGCTTTTAAACAATCACAGTCAACTTATATTTAAATTCATATCATACCCATAAATCCAAATACGGCTTAAGGTGAAGTTAGCAAGAGATGCAATGTTGATAGTTAATGAAACTGTTAAACCACCCGAATCATTTTATATTGAAAATCACATTCCAGTTGCAAATCTTCATACGGCTTAAGAAGAAGTTACCCAGAAATCTTATTTATTCTTGATAGATTATAAAACTTTTGAACTATTTTGATCCCTTTATCGTTAAATTGACATCCAACTTACAGATGTTTAACAAGAAGTCAAGAATAGATCTTCTCTGTTAATGATAGTTGCCGAAACTTGAATACCATATTTATTCCCTTACACTGGAACTGACATTACATCTACATATCTTAACAAGACTAAGAGGTCAACAATATATTTTATCCGCTGTTAATAGTTGACGCCTTACTAAGTTCATTCCAAAAAGGACGAAGAAAGCTTAAAACTTTGCATAACTAAAAAGTGCTATTTGTTGTTTTTCATTTAATATACATTGCAGTATAAAATAAAAGAAATATTTAACGTAAATAATTAACATAATACTAATAAGTATAAATACCACCAAGATTTATTTTATAACAGCTGTGAAATCACGAGATTTTTAACATAGACAAAAACAGAAATATGTATAAACACATTTAGACCTGTTAAATTTATCACGATTTTTCTATGTTTTTGGTTGAAAAGGTATTAAGTTTTAAGTGTGGTGTTATGTTTTAGATTGTTTGCTGCTTTTTTGGTAAGTGAAATTTGAAAATTCTATAATTTATAGTTTCTTCACTATATTTCTTAAATACATATACACATATTTCATATATATCATATATAGAAGATAAAGTTATCATACTATTTGATCGCATTTAAAAGTACGTTTGTACTTGGCAAATATAAAGCAATGAAGGCTATTTTTTCTATGAAAATCTATATAAAAATATGCTAATCATGCTTGATAGTTGTAAATGAAAACACAGCATTTTGAAATATGAAACAACTATATTCAAAAATAAAAAAAAAATTAACAAAAAAAAACTAAATCAAATATTTATTGAACGTATTACCTAGTTTGTATCGTATTGCATTATTTATACAATATTTCCTCCATATTAATTTTTATTTTAATGAGAATTTATTGTTTATCGTTTTGATTTCTTGGAATAAATAAGAATTTTACATGATTAAAAAAATTGTTTAAAACTTATTTGAAAAAAGTTTCTCACTTTGATTGTTATAAAAATTTTACATTTGCTGTTGGAAAACTACGTGCTGTTTTAGTTAATGTTGGCACATTTAGGCAACTCTAAAAATGCAAATATATGTGTGTATGTACAAGTATATTGTTCAGATTTACACAAATGCATATGTTGCATTCTTAATAATTAAATTTAATGAATTAAAATTATAATGGTATGGTTTTTTTTGTTTGATTTTTAACTAATTTCCTAGAAATTTTAACATAAAAATTAATATAAAAAACTTACCAATTCATGAGATTTAATTTGGGTTGCATTTTTGTTTTACTTTTTTTTTTTTTTTTTTTTTTGAGTGTAAAAACTTTTTTTTTTGTTTTGAAGGGGAAATAATTTTACAGTATTAATTTTATATATATATATTTTTTTTTTGCTATAATTGTAAATATTTATTTTTCACTTTTTTATAATATAATATCTAACAAGCTATGCTTTTAGTTCACAATTTGTAAAGAGCACGAGTTATAAAATACATTTTCTAAGTAATTCTGTATTTTCCATAAAGTATTTCATTTGAATAAATTATTTTTAATAAAAAATGCAAAAAATGCAGCAGCCGACGAACTCATACGACAAGAGCACACAGCGCACAGTGCACAGTACCCACCACACAATACCGCGAAATGTTAACGGAACTCGAGTCAAATAAGCAAAAAAAAAAAAACGCTACGAATAAATTTCTGATAAGGTATTATCAGAAGCTGCGTGCATATCGTTTCTGTCCTTTGCTATGATTTTTAATAACAAAAGCAATGAAAATATAAACATATTTTATATATAATAGTTGCGATGTTTTACTATTGTTGCTGTTGTTTTTGTTGTTTTAACAATTATATTAATTTTGTTTTTCTTTTATGTCGTTTGGTAGCTTTGCGATTTTACGTATGAAAAAACTGTTAGCATAAAACACAAATATGTTATTCAGCTTATACACACACACTCCTGGAATGTTGTTATTGGTTTTGTTGTATTTATTCTTGGCAACGATTTTAGCTCCTGTTATTGTTGGTATTCTTTTTTTTCTTTGTTTTTGTTTTTATCGCTGCGCTGCTGCTATTGCTGTTGTTATTGTTATTTTTGTTATTGTTGTCGTTAACAAGTGTCTATGTTAGCTTCTGGGTATTGCGGTTGCAAGCATTCACAGCAACTTCTACTGAGTTGCAAAAAAACATCAGTTAATTTTCATTTGCTTTTTGTTTTTTTTGTTTTTGCGTTAACTTGGGAAACTGTTTTAAGTGCAGAGAAATCTGGTGTTGACTACTTTAGGAACTGACGATGATGCCGTAACCATAAATATAGTCATGTGTACAATTCCTATAACTTGATGGATGCTATGTGTTGTTGCTTACTGTACAGTATTTGTTAAATTTCCATCTTCACTAAATATACACATCATTTTATTTTTTTCTTTTAACTGCCATCTGAGAAACAAGTTTCAATCAACAATATATGCTCATCAATAAAAACTTAATAATCAATATAATTTTTTTTAAATATTTTATTAATAAAAAAAATCACCAACGCATTAACAAACTCGTACGTCAGTTACATATACAAATTATTAAACAATGTACACAAATATAAATTAACACTATCTTTTTCTTTACTTGCTACGATTAAATTCGAGTATATAATATTAACGTCTGTACCGAAAGCAAATCTCTCGCAAAACTAAAAAAAAAGAGATTGCCTTTTTCCACAATATAATATTCCGACAATTACGCCAAGACGTTCGAATCAAACAAAAGACGTTAATACAATGAAACTTGTGGCTGAGATATTCTCTTATTACACCTGTTTTGTTTGGCTCACTCTCTTCGTAAATAACTTTTCCACTCATAACAAACAAATTATTCGCTCTCTCATATTTGAAAACTCACCTCACAATTGTTAAATTTATATAATTTAGAGTTACCCACTCTGAATTTCATAGTATTTTCGAGAATGCAAAAAGTGGTGTATAAAACAATTTTTAAATTTTTATTTCATACATAAATTAAAAAAAACAACGTTCTATTAGTTGTTCTTTTTTTTATTAGTTATTGTTTTAAAAGTTGTGTAAAAACATTTTTTATACTTTTAACATTTTATACTTTTATTTCACACATGAATTTAAAAAAAATAACGTTATTTAATTGTTGTCTTTTTATTTATATTATTTATTGTTTTAAAATATTATTTTATAAAATTTTTGTGATTATAAAAAAATTCATCGTAGAAAACCGTAGAAAACGATTTTTATATTTTTATTTTATATATAAAATTAAAAAAAATACACAACGTTCTATTAGTTGTTGTTCGTAATATTGTATATTGCAATATTTCTGTGAATACAGAAAAGTGGTGCATAAAACAATTTTTGAGAATTAAAAAAATTTACAGATAATTTATCTATAAATTATATATAAACACAATTTCTTGTAGCGAATGTATAAATAAATTATCAGTAAAATATTAAATTATAATAAAATAAAATTTTAAGTAGACTATGTGAAATTTCTGAATATGTGAGCATAATTTCAAATTTACAATTAAATGATAATTATTATTATATAGTAAAATTTTAAGCAAAAGTGAATTATTTATAATAAGGCTACACAATTGTACTATTGTGAACTAGAAATTTAAACTTGTTTCTGTAGAAATATTCATAATTTTATGTTCAATTTTATTTATGTTTAACGAATTGATTTGAACTATCGATATGAGCATAAAACAATTAGTTGGCCTGTGTGAATGGGCTATAAAAAAATTACACTTAAACAAACGCTACTAAAGCAATTTAATATAAATAATTACAGTTTAGTAAGAAACAATTTTTTTAATTACTGCATTATACCTATCATTGTAAAGTACATTTAAAACATTTTGAATTATTATGCAGAAACGCTTCTGAAATCTGTTTTTTATAGATTTTAAAACTCGCGTAAAGATATCATAATTATTAAACACTACACATCATATTTTTGTGATGGTTGTAAACTCTGCGCTTTGTTTAAAACAGTTGCCTCAATAAATTATTCGTTCATAATACATATAAACATTTTTTTATTAATTAATTGTAAATATTTTAGTAATTACTAACTGTTTTTAATTTAAATTAGAGGATATTTATTACAAAACAAATAATACATTAAATTGACATGTGTACTCAACTGAAACAAAATAGAAACTCTTCAAATGACTTGAAATTTTGAAGTGCCGAAGTAGAAAGTTTGTTAACCGAATACAGTGGAACAAATTAATAATTAAATTATTGAAATAGTTTTTAATTATTATTTTATATAGAAATTATTATTGTTTATATATTATATACTTTTTCCTTAATAAGTTTATAAACATAATGCCATAGAGAAAAATATATATTGTTGCTATTAATAATTGGAAACATTTCTAATCGAAGGCATTTTTCAATATTATTTTCTATCGCCGATTTCATCATTGTATTTCAAAGTAATCACTGATATTTTTTGTACATTGTTTTTTATTTTGAGAAGGAAACTCTGCGCCACCTAATATGTCAGTGTCCACTTTAGAATCCTGAGCGCAACAGTGGGCCAGTATTTGGGCCCAACTGCGCTTTGGACACAAAGCCGACACTCCAACCAAACTTAACCTTGTTTTTTGTAGTTTATATCACATTAAGCTATTGTGCACTTACTGATATTTGAAATTACTTTAAACTGAAGATAATTAATTTTCCTTATATATCGACCAATAAGATATTTTTAATGTTTATTTTTATTTTAATTAAACAATATTGCATTTGTAATAAATATTTTAATAAGAAAAACAACGTTATTTTAATCTCATAACCTAAAATTCTAATAGGATTGTTTTTTCCTGATTTCTTTGAAACATGACCAGTATTATCATTTAATTAATAATAATACTTAAAAAATAATATACGGTTTTTTACATATAAATATCTATATACATACATAACAAATTAACGCGAAATTACAAAAATGTCGCGCTGCAGAGAAACCACTTTGTTCTAATAATTATTTCTAAGAATCATGATAAAGGATGGCGCCAATAAATACGGTATAATGCGCATTCCATTTAATAACAAATAAAATTCTGAAAATTCACTATAAACTGATGTCTGTTATTTTTAAAAGGAACGAAATCTACAGAAAATAAATTCACAGAATTTTGCATATTACTTTTTCTTTGTTTTTTTTTTTCAAAACAAATAACTTTAATTTTGATATTTATTCAGTTATCAAGTTAAAAATATGGAATCACCTACGACTGCAAGCACTATCAATATTTTTATATCTGGGCAATTGGAATCTGCAATATTTCCAATGGGTCCAGATGCTGATGAAATATTTTGCCGCTACGAAGTGGTTGCTGGTGCCGATTGGGAATTGGTGTCTGGTTGTCAAAATGGTATAACGCAGACGGCTTCAAACAAATGTGGCCACTACAATGACAAAATCGTACTGAATATGCCAATCGAAATAACATTCAAAAGTACAAGTCCTCATGGATGTAAGTATATTAGCCAAAGCCATTTTCTTTTTCTTGTTCGTGAATGTGATATTCAAGTAGAAATATTTCATATTCATATTGGATATTCACATAATATTGATTATAGTTGTAATAGTGGAATGCATAATTCGAAGGTAAAGTCTTATAGAATTATAGAATTTTTTTAGAAGGGAAATGGTTTTTGAAATAAACTGATTATCTGGCAGAACATCTTAACTTGTGGTATTATTTCAATAAGACGAGTCTATATGAGCCTTCGTATGTTTTCTCTGCGTTACAGAAGGTGAAACATTTAGTTACATTCTTTGTGATATAAGAATATCTCTCCTGATCAACGAGAGACATTTAAGCCCACATTGGTAAGGCGTATGTTCTGTTCCACAAAACATAGTTCAGTACAAACCTTATAATTGTAGTTATCTTCTCCAAACAGAAGTCTTAGTTACTGACTTTAATCTATCCTTCTACTTTTCATCAGATACGTCAACTGTGTTCTTATAAAATTAAAAAAAAAAAACACCCAATTCAATTAATTTAGAAATCAAATTAATGATACAATTCGTCGATATGTTCGTTAATATTTTATTTATTTAATATATTTTTATGTTATCAAACCACGGCTGAGCAAACAATAAAGTTTATGTAAATAAAATTTTGTTTTCTTTGATAAAAGAATTTTAGAAACCTAAATAATGTTCGCTCTTGATATATTTTTGCATTTTTTATAGACATAGGTAAACTAACTACACAACATATTTTATGATTATT